ATTGGAATGTTGTTCCAGGATCAACAAGGATGTTGATCCAGGAACATGTTGTACTTGGTGAAATCACGGTCACCCTGTTGCATCAGTGTGAATGGCCCTTTTGGGCTATAGCCACAAATAATGGTTGGTTTGGGTGGTGAATAGAGTGCTGCGGAGATGACGTGTTTTCGTAGGCCAAAACTTACCCATCTTTATGCAATAATAATTCTTTTAAATTTAATTCTGTTGCTGTTAGGGCTGGCGGTATATCAAGTTTGTACGATATATCGATATTTTCTTTATAAGTGATACGATATGAGGCAATACCGTTTATATCGATATACAGTAGTTTGATACGAGTGCATCTGAAAAATATAGCGGAAGACTCGGACGCGGAGAAAGTGCATAATCCAGTTTGTTCTAAACATGTGACAAGCTTTATATTAAGGGCTTTAAAAAAACTCGTAAGATGTAGTATAGTTTATAGTTTCGTCAGATGCTCTGACAGAAAGGCTGCGTGTGCCGCTGACAGAGACTTTACTTGAGCTGTTCAATGTGTTTGAGATGTGCTGTTTTCTTAATGCATAACTTACATTTTACAGGTATGTTTTCCATCTGTAAATGTTAGAAAGTCATGGAAATATTTCCATTTTGCTGTCAGGAGTACACGACCCTTCTTCTTCATGCGCGCCAAACAGACAGAGCACAATGAAATAGGAGTGCAATAATTCTAAATAAAATATATATTTTGCTGAAATATTTGTAGTTGGACAATGTGACATATGTAGAACTTTAAACCTACAAGTAAGTCTATTTTTATGATAGCACTGACTGTAATGGGGTAATCAAAATAGCCTAATACAAGTCTGTGCTTTGGTTCTTATTTATTTTCATTTTTAGTTTAGTGAATTCAACTTCTGCTTTAAAAGCCATATTTTTGTTTTTAGATTGTAATGTTACAATGTTGGAATGAAATGTGATTTTGACCCTTTTTGCACATAATATAGGCTTAAATTGTTACATTCACTTTATTGGTTTTCATAGGCTTTACTATTGTTTCGTTGGACAACATTGGGTGGTATGTTAAATATAAATATTAAATGCAGATAAAAAAAAATCCAGATACAAAACCGAGATATGAACCGTATATTGCAAATCGGCCAAAAAATACAGAGATATGAATTTTTGCCCATATCACCCAGCCCTAGGTCAGGGATGGTGACTAGAGTGACTAAAAATGGTTAAAAAATATGCATGATATGGCGAGATGTCTCAGAAACCCAGCGTATGACTCTTAGTCAGCAATTCCTCTGCACTTCCTAGTGGATGCATGGACTAGTGGAAGGCTTCTGATAGTTCTCCAGATTTTCATATATTCAAAACATCACGTGCACATTTGGTGCACTGACTTCATTTTCATGTGAAAATGTAATTTGCATTTGTTACGTTTAGAGCTAATTGTCTAACATTTGGTGTGTTCACAGTTGACCGTTTCATTTCAGTAAGTGGCATTCGAGCGTGATTTCAGCCGTCACAGTAATGCTCGTTCAAGCGTAGCCTAGCGCGCATGTGATCTGATAGATTATATTATTTCTTCTGTGAGGTTGAAGTTGCTACACTTATTTATGGTTCGATTGGTGGGATGTTTTAAAGATGTTGAAGGGTTTTGAAAAGTACATCACCGTAGCGCCTTCTGTAGTGTTTTTTCTAATTTCAAGCATCTGTTGTGTTTTTAACATGCATCACATTCAATAAATGCAAGAGTCTAGAAATGAAAATTCAGTCATTATCTACTCGCCCTCATCCAGAATGAAAGAATGTCTTCCGTGGAACTCAAAAGGTGAATTGTTTTTAGGAAGTCATCTTCTGGTTGTTCTTTTCCATGTAATGGAAGTAAATGAGGGCTTTATCTGTAAAGCTCTAAAATGACGACAAAGCAGGAGAAAATTCACATCACAGTGGTTTATGTGTCTAATTACAGTCTGAAGTCATTCAATCAGTCATTCAGAACGGATTTGCCACAGAATAACTCAAATGAACAGATCTTTCATGATTTACTGATTGTCAGGCTGTTGCGGTGATGGTACACTCTCAGAAAGAAAGGTACAAAACTGTACCTTTTAGGGTGCAAGTGGCCGTCACTGGGGTGGTACCCTAAAGGGTACCGTTTTGTACCTCTACTTAGAGGTACAAAATTGTACCTTATAAATTTGTACCAGTTAAGGGCCAATTTTGTACCCCAGGGAACAATTGTGCACATTGCAAAGGTACAAAATTGTACCTTTCATCCTTGGGGAGGCTAAATAAATAAATAATACTTCAGAAATTGGCTTACAGTTACGTAATTTTATTTATTTTTACAAAGAGAATTAATTACATCACACCCTAGTAGAGCAAGTGTCAAAAAACAGATGTTCAGTGCACAGACAAACACACCAGACATTACTCAATAATAAACATACTCATAAGAATAAAGCAGTCATTTAAAACCGTAAAACCTTTAATAGGAGTACAAGAAATTGTCTAATCATAATTTGAAAATGTTCTCTGCAGTCATTCAGACCACGTTATTGAAAAATTTGCCTCATAAGCATGAATAGGACCAATGTGCTGCATTCACTGGACAATCATGAATATTCTCCAAGAGCATTTAGTGAAACAGAAAAGGCAGGGCATTTTTGCAGGTGTTAATGTAGGAGGTTGATTACTCTTAACTGTGGTAGGTAGAGGGTTGTCACCATCCACAGTACGTTCTCCAGTCACTGGCTTCCTATACTTGGTGAAGATGGTTTGCTCTAAATGAGAAAATCTGATTTGTGCTTTATCTGTGAAATTTTCTCAGCAGATGATTTTACTGATGGAGAAAAATACTCTACATACATAAAGTGTAAGATAATTATTACATTATACCATTTGTATGTGGGCACATTAAATACATTTTAAGATTTATAAAAAACATTTTTTAGGCTATATTAGTTTTTTGTGATACTGACACTGGTGACAAGAATTATGAAATAAAATTTGTGAAATAAAATTACTCATATCGTGATATAAGATTTTGGTCATCGCCACCCCTATTTTATACTGTACAGTAAGTACAAATTCAGTTGACCAAATACAAATAAAAATTTACACATCAAGTACAGCACATTTTGAGGTTTACAGTATAAAGCGGTTTGTCTTCAGCAAGAATACCAAGTGCTTATAAATAACTTTGATAATCATCCTCCTCACCTGGAGAGAGTACAGTCCATTATTCCTTCTCACATTGCACACAGAAATAATCACAACATAAAGCAATAGTTTAGTTATGACATTCTTCTTTAACTTCCACAAGCAGAGGATGATCAGTCACGGTCTATTGTAACTCCGTATGTTTATGCTTTTGGTAAACATGACATCTAAAGGTTTCATAATTTGAAAATGTTCTCTGCAGTCATTCAGACCACGTTATTGAAAAATTTGCCTCATAAGCATGAATAGGACCAATGTGCTGCATTCACTGGACAATCATGAATATTCTCCAAGAGCATTTAGTGAAACAGAAAAGGCAGGGCATTTTTGCAGGTGTTAATGTAGGAGGTTGATTACTCTTAACTGTGGTAGGTAGAGGGTTGTCACCATCCACAGTACGTTCTCCAGTCACTGGCTTCCTATACTTGGTGAAGATGGTTTGCTCTAAATGAGAAAATCTGATTTGTGCTTTATCTGTGAAATTTTCTCAGCAGATGATTTTACTGATGGAGAAAAATACTCTACATACATAAAGTGTAAGATAATTATTACATTATACCATTTGTATGTGGGCACATTAAATACATTTTAAGATTTATAAAAAACATTTTTCACAGACATAAGTCAGACCGAGAACAATATGCTCACCTTCCCAAGTACAATGCAGTGTTCGAGCTTCTCTCTGAACAAGGATGGTAACATGAGAAGTGCTGCTTTTAAAACAATTCCTGAAACACAAGACGTGACATACAAATAAATATGCAGAAATCCATCCAAGGATAGAATTGGATGGGCTTAATAATGAGGACAAAGTTGAAGAGTCGGTTACCATGAGGGTCTTCACTGAGAGATTCCTCTCTAGCCTCTTTGTGCAGCGTTGATCGAGATTTCCCTTGAGCAAGTCGTAGCACACTGGACGCAAGGTTTCTTGAAAGTGGTGGCATAGATTTAACAGATTAATACAGGAAACCAATTTCTTGACGAAGCTGCAAATAGTTAAGAAAAACACAAGCATAAGTAAATCAGAAGATGTTTTACAGTTTCAGTGTCCAGTGTGTAATTTTAGAGTTCTACACTAACCTCTGATGGACTCTTCAAGAATGGATATTTATTGACAGCATCTTCAACAGTCATCTTACTAGTAATCTTCTTTCACCTACAGGCAAAGGTCTTCTTTATTCACTCTTAAACAAAGCAAGTATCTGGCTCTGCCCTTCTGTACTGGTCTTGCAGGACTTTTAGCTCTCCCACTATTGATGTAACATTCTCTCCAACAACATCAATGTCCTTGTGCATAGACAAACACAAAAACAATCAGACAGCAAGTTATTTCTAATTTCAAAGCATGAAAATAATGAAAAGGTTTGTAATAATGATACATTTGAGAACAATACACTGGTTACACGAGGCACTGTAAAAGATGATAAAAATATGCTCTCACCAAAGGCAGGTAATCTTGTAGTTATTTTCCTTCTTCAACATCCCCACATTTAAACTTGCATTTCAGAGACATGCACCATGTGTGCTATTTAGAATAACATTTGGGCAACAAACAACCAAAAAAATTACACAAAATAAACTGCACGAACAGAACCAAGAGTAGGACATTATAAGAAACCCGTCTACTTGCATATCCATGTCTTTTAAAAAGGGGTACCTCAGAGTCAGGCCCTTAGCCATTTGACCATACTCTTCATTAGTTGAAGATCTACAGAAATATTTTAAAATAGTACAAATAGTTATTAATACTGAAAAGACAAATTATTACATCAACAATGACACTAACTTCAACATTTTACCAAGCAAGGTTTACTTGAAATATGTGTCCCCTCCCTCTTTTCTTGATAATTTTAGCGTTAACCTTGATGAATGACTATAGAGTAAACATAAATAGCGATGCATAATTCCATATTAGAAGCCCAAATGACCATCAGTGAAGTAACAGAACACAAATATGTCATCAAGTGTTTTTTAACAAATACATATTCGTTTGCGTGCTGTCCTTTTACTTTGTTAATCACTTGCTTGTCGTTTGATGGCTCTATTTAACACAAAATGGCCGTGTATAACGTTAATCTGAGTGAGTGCACGGAGTAAAATTTGTGCGGCCCAAAACGTCATCACACTCGCAGTCAACTAGCAGTTAGTAGAGTATTAGTAGACTGTCTGCTTAATATCTTCTAACACTTTCTTTGTCAACTTATTCTACTAACCCTAAACCTACCCTAACAGTCTACTCTGAGAGTTAGTAGACATGTAGTTGCAAAGTTACTTATAGTTAATAGAATGTCTAAAGTGGACTATCGAAATAAAGTGTAACCCTTTATTCAAATAATTATTATTAATTATAATTAATTGTAGCCACTCCGCATGGTAATTTAATCTAGCTTAAAAAAAAGTATAAAGTGGTTGTAGGTTTTGAAAATATATATTTTTTAAACATTTAAAGCCATTGATGTTTTGATGTTATCATAAACTGACATTAAATTAATAAAACAAAAACGTAGACATAAGTTATTCTAGTTGGGCCTAAATAAAAAAAATAAAAAAATAGTAAGTACAATTTCAAAGGTAAAATGTACCTCTCTCATTTGATTGTACCCTCATGACTCTTTTTGGGTACCTTAAGGACCTATTGTGTACCTTTAAATTAAAGGTACAGTTATACGTTTTGTTCCCCTAGGAACAAAATTGTACCTTCACCGTACCTTTTTTTCTGACAGTGTATAGGGTAAGTTGTTCCTGATGGAAATCAAGCGCTGCAGTGTGTGCAGAGAGAGGAGGAAAACCAGACGGACTTGTTGTGATATAAACCAAATGATGGGTTTCATGAGAAAGTGGTCTGTTTACATTGGCGAGGCTACATGAAGGCCAGGGTGGCACGGGTCCAATCCGTCATAGCTTCTGGAATAAAGCGGCCTGCAAATAATGAGAAAAGGAAAACAAATACATAGCATGTTTTTCACATGCAGAACGTGAAAATATTAAAATAAAATGCCTCTCATAAGTTAAGGAAATGGGCTGCACTTTATAATAATCTTGAAATGACAAGAGTAAATGTCCATCCAGTTAAAGATGGCTTACATATTTGATCAGTCAAAAAGGCTGTTATGATGTATAATGTAAGAGTGTGCTCTAATAGGTCTTTTAATTTTGATCTCGAGGCGCTGCGGTTATGCTTTCTGTTTGGAGCTCTTCATTAGATCTGACATTTCAGAGTCCTGTCAGGTCTGGCCAAAAGCTAGTGATGTGCTCAAAACCTTTCCGCTTGTACATCATTGAACAGTATTTAATAAATATATTCATTATATAATATAATGGGTATTTATATATTTGTATTTCGTCTTCTTTTGTACTTTATCTAAAGCTGTAACTAACAATCATTTTGATAAATTAAAATCATATAAAAATGCAAAAAATATATTTAATGGATGTAGTCTATTATAAAGAAATATAGCGTATATACATATTTGTTGTATTAAACGGAACTTGGACAATGATGGGCTTGAGACAAATGTCATTCAAATAGTACTTCTGCTAATAACAGTATAAACATGCTAAGGTCTGATGTGATGCTGGGTTGATGAATATTAATCACGCTCTCTGTGTTTGCTCAAACTGATTTGGTGAAATCAAATTGTTGATGTAATAGATGAGTACTAGCCAATGAGACTGCTGCTTGTGCTTTAGCTCCGCCCACTAATGCAGAAACCAGTGGAGGAAAAGTTTACTCACAGGGTAGAGGGTTGCATTTCCTGCAGCAGTTAACCCTGGGACCTCTGCTATTAGGTTAGGATGTGATTGGTTGATAGAAATGTGTCATTTACCGCTGTAATTTGAGGTGAATAGTGGAGGTTTTCCATGCCACAGACCCAATTAAAGGAATACTTCAACCTAAAATGAAAATATCCTCACCCTCAGTCCATCCAAGATTAGGATGAGTTTGTTTCTTCATCAGATTTGGAGAAATGTAGCATTGCATCAGTGTCTCAGCAATGGATGCTCTGCAGTGAATGGGTGCCGTCAGAACGAGAGTCCAAACAGCTGATAAAAACATCACAATAATCCACAAGTAATCCACACCACTCCAGTCCATCAGTGAACATCTGGAGAAGACAAAAGCTGAAACACATCCATCATTGTTCAAAGCACGGGGCCCGGTGCGACCGCACCAGTTGCACCCCCCTAACTGGTGTCAGTGCTATGAAGTGAAGCATCAGCTAGCTTCAGCTTTTCCCCCTGTCGTTTATCCCAGCGTTTACCCCTCACGTCACTAGCTCCACCCTTGCGCCATAGCTCGTGACCGGAAGAGAAGATGAGTCGTTTTGAGGGGGAGGGGAGGTTAACGTTTTTGATTAAAGATTACGAGGGCACATGAATTAATTTATCCTTGCACTTCATTATTTTTTTTTATCTATAATAAACTACAGTATTCCAATAAAGAATAAGAATTTTCAATTTTGATTTCATGGTGACTTTAAACAGTCCAAAACAGCTCTAAACAAATATGTGGCTGGATTTTGATGTGTGAGACAACAGGAGATGCACTTTTTCACTGGAGGAAGCGTTATTATGAATTATAGACTCCTATTTTCACCACCTATCAATTCCTGTGTGCGCAACTTTTATGGAAAACCTCCACTTTTCACCTCATTTTTGGGTGAAGTATTCCTTTAATTGGGTCTGTGCATGGAAAACCTCCATTATTCACCAGGGGTGTGCGATATATATCGTCTGCGATAATATCGTAATTGTTGTTTTAACGATGTGCGATTTGACCTTGAGTATTTTGCAAAAACCAAACAAAACACCTACGGAGTACACGCATACATTACGTGAAGTCTAGACTAGAGCGCGTGCGCATTTAGAGAGTGTTCTTTCACTAAATGATTCAGTCTAATTATAAAGAATATCTCTTTGGATTTGAGACTTTAGTCTTTGCAACTTTACAGATCTTCTTTATGCACCAAGAGCTTGTAACACTCCAAAGAGAAAGGAAAAATTGAAATCGCATCATATGACCCCTTTAAGAAAGATCACAAAATTCAAGATATGGGCACAGAAAATGCACATATTTATATAATTCCATATAGTTAAAATAACACGAAGAGTAGCGTTTTTCTTCAAAAATAAGCATGATTACAAATGTGATATTGATTTTTTACAACGGTTCAATTAACAATAAGTTATTATTAAGAGACTTACGTTTTAGACACCTTTTTGCCAGTTTTTGGTCTTTCGCCAACCAAAAATAATTCCAAACACAGCCACAGCACTGTTTTGCGTCTCTGAGCAACATGACGGTGATTCGTTCCTGAATGAATCAACCGTTTAAATGATTTGGTTCAATCACAATGACTCGCTTATTAACAGTGACTCGCTGCCACCTACTTGCGATTTTAATTTCACATTTAAAGTACCTTTTCATTTTTAAAATAATTTCAAATATCAGTATTCAATGTTGTATGTTTAAAATATCAAAACATTATGCATTTGTAACTGCAGGTTTAAGCACTCCATGTCCCTCTGAGCTAATTTAAATAGTGTGTAAATGCATCTAAAATCCACTTCAGATGCAACTTCTGCAAAGATTAATTTTGTTGATACTGGTTTCATTTGTTTAACAGCCTTATTATTGTCTTATTATTATAATTGACTGATTAAATGTAACAATTTGACTCAAATGATGCACACTTTTAGAAAAAAAAGGCTTTATTAAAGGTAAAATTGCCCAGGAAAGGTAAAAATCAATTTAAACTTATATGAAAAGATTAATTTCTAACACTGATGTGAACTGACCAGTACATAGAATATCAAAAACTGCAGCTGTCCATGGTAGTCAGATATCAGCACAATAACACACTCGGCAAAATATCGTCAAATTGTCGATATCGAAAAAATCCCCAAAAATATCGA